CAAAACTACTAGGCACTATGATGTGCACTAACCACCAGAGGGCAGACGCTCAATACAGGAGCTGCCCCCTGGTAGTCAGTGCGCTATCACAGGGGGAGTGCTGCTCAGCCAGAAGCCCTGAGCTGGGCTCACTGCTGTTGAGTGTAGCTGCGGTGGCAGGAGCCTCTCCCACTTCACAGTAGTCAGACATCTCCCCTCCCCTTCACTGAGGACTCCCAGCTGAGCTGAGAGACACCCCTCCAGTGCACAAATTTTGTGCACGGGGCCTCTAGTCTCATATAATCTCATGAAATCCTATGTGATTGTATCTCCTTTTAGAGACAGGAAATAGAATGCCAAAGGGTCTGACAGCCTGCCCCACATTCCCTCACCTGGAAGTCAGGGGGATTGTTTGTACTCAGGTTTATGCTGCTGTTGCTGCCGCTTCCCAGATCTTGTTCTGGGCCCAGATTCTTGTCTGGAAACTAGGGATTGCCAGTCAGTCTGGTTCTGGAAGCTCTCTAACAACAAGGAGGGGATGTTAGGTTGGGTTTTACAAAGCAGACTAAGAATTAGTTGAGGATGAGTGATCCCCACTTTTCAAATAAACAATAGTATATTAAAATAGATGTGCAAATATACATGTATAACTCACTGAACACAGATCAGTCTTCTGTCCTCACTATTGAACCTAATCTGTCCTTATTAAGGTTGCCAGTGACCTCCATGTTGCTAAATCCAGTGGCAAGTTTTAGCTGTTTTTTTACTTAAACTGTCAGTAGCATTTGATGCAATTTTCCTCCTTCCCTCTTGATATATCCTATCTAATAAAGAGGAAATATGCTAATTGACCATCGCACCCTCAAAAAGATGGTGGTGCCCACAGCCAATAAGGAGGGAATATGCTAATTGATTGCCATGCCCTCAAAGATGGTGGCACCCACAGCCACAAGATGATGGCGCCCAGTCTCCTCAGCCCTGGTGGGGTGGCAGGCATGCAGCACAGCTGGGCTTGCCCTGCGTGCCTGTCTCCAGAGTCTCCCAGTCCCCTTAGGCCCTCAGCCCCCCAAGGCTGGCCCAAGGCACAAACAAGTCTTGGATATTGGCTGCCCAGCCACCCAAGGCCAGCCCCAGGTGTAGGCAAGCCTTGGATGGTGGCTGCCCAGCAGCCCAATGTTTCCTGAGACTCAGATAACCAGGGCCAGCTGAGGCTGTGGCAGCAGCAGCAACAGCAGCAGCAGCAGCAGCAGGTGTGTGATGGGGACATCGCCTTCCCCTTATCGCTGGGTCACCTCCCACCCCTGAGGGCTCCTGGACTGTGAGAGGAGGCACACCAAGCTGAGGGACTCTCCCTCCAGTGCATGAATTTTTCATGCACCGGGCCTTTAATATATATATATATCTTAAACCTGGCTTTTAAGACACCACACTTTATTTCTGTTATTTCTCCAATTCCATTGGTCACTCTTCCTTAATCTTCTTTACTGATCTCTCATCATTCTCCTGAGAAGTGCCCCAGGATCCGTCCAGATCTTAGACCTCTTCTCTTCTCTGTCTACATTCATTCACCAGCTGGTCTCCTAACTTTTTATCTCCAGAGAAGACTAGTTTTCTAACTGTATTGTGATATATCCAACTGCCCACTTGACATTGCCACTTACATGTCTAATGGGCATCTCACACTTGACATATTTGAAATTAAGGTCCAGATCATTCTCTTAAAACCTGCTCCTCTCATAATCTTTCATATCTCAGTCAACGGCAAGTCCATCTTTACAGTTGTTCAAGCCAAAAACCTTGGCATGAGTCTTGATTTCTCTCTTTTTCTCTTACCCTGTTTCCACTGCATCAGCTCTTCTTCCCAAATATCTCCAGAATCTGCTTACTTCTCACTACCCTGCTTCTGTCACCCCATTCCAAACCACCAAAATCTTTAGTCTCTTGTTACATGAGACTCCTAACTGGTCTCTTTCTTTATGCCCGTGACATCCTACAGCCTGTTCTCACAGCAGCAAGTGATGGTCCCAAAATATGGAATACTGTCATTCTTTTAATCACCATTCAGTGACTTGATTCTCATTCTTTATAATGGATAAATATGTAAATTGTCTGTTACTCCATAACAGTTAGTAGGCCGAGCTTGTAGCAGGCTCAGGTGGGTGGGCCACAGCATCTGGGGGATGTGAGCCTGTGTCCTCTATTCTATCTAATAAAAGAATAATATGCAGATTGACCATCACTGCAACACACAAGATGGCTGTCCCCATGTGGTCAAAGATTCTGCCCCCAGGGCAGGGCAGTTGAGAGGGACCAGACATGCAAGGGAGAGCTGTGGGGGTGATCAATCTTGCAGGGGAGGGCAGTTAGGGGTGACTAGGTCAGCAGAGGAGGGAAGTTTGGGGTAAACAGGCTGGCAGAGGAGCAGTTAGACTGCATGAGAGTGGTTAGGGGGTGATCAGGCTGGCAGGCAGAAGCAGTTAGGGGCAATCAGGAAGACAGGCAAGCAAGCAGCTGGGAGCAAGCAGTCCTGGATTGTGAGAGGAATGTCTGACTGCCCGTTTAGGCCCCATCCCAGTGGACATACCTCAAGGGGTCCCTGATTGGAGAGGATGCAGGCTGGACTGAGGGACACCCTCCCTCCCCCCGTGCACAAATTTCGTGCACCAGGCCTCTAGTTCTTAGAATAAAATTCTAAGTTTTTACCATACCCTACAAGGCCCTACAGAATTTGTTCCCCAACCTCTTCACCAGTTAATTCTCTGATATCCTCTTCTACTCTGTCTCCCTTGCTTACTCATCACCAGACACAATGGGCTTCTTGGCTGTCCTTTCAAACCCCAAGAATGTTCCCTCCTCCAGGTCTACACCAGGGGTCCCCACCCATACTGGTAAGGTTCACTCCTCATCTCCTTCAAGGATTTGCTTACATGGCTCCTTTGAGTTCTTCCCCAACCACCTGTTTAAATTGCAGTTCCTCTTCAAAAGCATGTCCTGGTCCTCTAATGCCAATGATTTCTTTCCCTCCACAGTCCATGCCACCACATGGCATACTGTTCATTTTACTCATTTATCTTTCTTTATCATCCATTTGCCACTAGAATATAAGCTCCAGTGGAACAGCGATTATTACTTTCCTGTCACCCAGGACAATTCCTAAAATCGCAGGCACTTAGAAAATCCTTGTGCAATAAAGAAATAGCTATCTTGAACAAAAAGACACAAATCTTTATCTAACAATTTGTAGATCTAACTAATGTGTTTCGAGTGTTGGTTTCAAACCCTCTTCTCAGGAGTGACTGAGAAAAGTACCCCAGATTACCCTAGGTATGTGAGAGCTAGCCTCTCCCATTTCTCCTCCGTGTATCCAGCTCTGGAGTCCCCTGGACTGGTCTTTGTTGTGGTCATGGAGGGAATTCTTAATTCTGCGGGCAAATGCTTAGACTTTACACTTTGAGCATTGTATTGATTTAAAATATATTTTTATCGGTTTCAGAGGGGAAGGTAGAGGGAGAGAAAGATAGAGACATCAATGATGAGAGAGAATCATTGATTGACTGCCCCCTGCACGCTCCACACGGGGGATGGAGCCCACAGCCTGGGCATGTGCCCTGACTGGGAATTGAACCATGACCTCCTGGTTCATAGGCAATGCTCAACCACTGAGCCATGTCGGCTGGGCTGAGTACTGTATCTTTATTAACTGTATATCCATAGCTCTGATTGTTCCTTTTACATCCTAGAAGCCAAGGAAGGGAAACTGTCTTCTTGTGCTGGGTCTGGAGCCTACCTCAACTACCAATAAGCACAAAGATGTCTCTAAATATTTTCTTGTTTATTTTATGCCTAGGCAAGACCTTTATAGTATACATTTATGTATTTATTCCATTTGTTCTTTTGATATAACCCACATTATTTACTTCAGATTCATCCAGGATGGCCTACTTAATATCACTATTGCTGTTTTATGTGTCAGTTATATATAGTAAGATCTCCCAAAGAACTCCCATCATTATGCATTGTTTCAGCCAGCAGGAAATTCTCTATCTGATCGTTCTTGCTGATCTAGCTAAAAGAGACTGCAATGACGCATTTCACTTCCAGGGGCTATTGCTGGGTTTGGATATTCCCTGGTACTATTAATAGCGCTGCAGGGAACACTCAGGTACAGTGAACATTTTTTTTTCCAGTCCATGTTTGCAGAAAGAAAGTCACATTGCTGTCTGGCTCAGTTACAAGTCACTTGCCCCTCGGTGCCTCCTAAGTTCTAAACAGACCCACCCAGAGCGTTCAGTTGCTCGTAAACACAGCACCGGCTCTCAGCATACTTTTGTGCCTTTGTTTATGCTGCTTTCCCTGCCTGGCCAAACCGCTTATCCTTTAAAATTCGTCTTGAGTGAGAACCCTTTTCCCCTGAGTCGACGTAGCCGAAATGCCTTCTTGTCCTTCTCTAGGATTCTCCACAATATTTGGAGCTTGCTTCTCTCTCCTGCAGCAATTTCAGCATTATCTTAGAATCTGCTGCCTACGTATATATGTCATACTCCACTGACGTCCCGAACTGTGAATCCCGAGGCATATGACTTCAGTATCTTTGTATCAGTCAGCAACAATCAGCACAGTAAATGCTCAGCCACGTTTGTTGAATGATTATGACCAATTACATGAATGAATGAAATTGCATTCAATTGGGGAGCATAATTCATTTGCATTTGTTCCCAGCTTATTGCCTTAAAAAAATAGGTCTGTGTGTAGCTTGGATTTCCCCCTTTTCCTCAGCAGATACTATGTGCATGGCCAATTTGATGCAGGGGGAACAAAAAAGGAAAATATACTGCAGATAGTTAATTTTAAAGGAACAGGCTAGCTTGTTCAACAAATTTCTTGCATCTTTCTTTTTACATGTTCCCTTCGCTCTGCCCAAACTTCGGTCAAATTCCTCCAAAGGGTCTGCTGTAAACAATGATGTTGTGAGTAGTTGTGTGTTCTCTGCAGTGAAAAACCGCCTTGTTTTCTGTTGCTAGGCAACCCCATTCCAGCTGCCCTTGAAGAAATGTGCGGTGGTGGGAAATGGTGGGATTCTGAAGAAGAGTGGCTGTGGCCGTCAAATAGATGAAGCAAATTTTGTCATGCGGTAAGACAGAGCACCCCCAGCGTGGCCCCTGCCTTTTCTCTCCTCCCCATCCCCCCCCCCCCACACACACACACATACACAAGCCCTGGGGTCTTTGGAATCTAGTCGCTTGTGATAAATCAGTTGTAGTCGCTCTTTAGCTTCTCTTCAAGTCCATACACAAGCGATTTCACAAGAGCAGTGTGTGCCCCAGAAAGTACAAAGCTGAGAAAGTTTCAGAGGTCCTGACAGACCCCCTCAGAGTGGGAGCAGGCAGATTTCATTTTAGATTACACAGCCGGGTGCCTAAAACTTTAAAAACTGTTCTGAAGACTAACTCTGCATGCATAAACATTTTAATGTATTCATGTCATTCTATACCATTTTTTCCTCTGCTTTTCACAAAAGCATCTGTAAGTAGCAGGTGGGATTTGAAGAGGGATTTGATCTGAGGAGGAAAACGGGGGGAAGGTGAGGGGATAAATTTGGAGCAAGGAGTAAGCTTGGAATAAAGGACTGAGCAGAGTAGTGATGTGAGCATTGCTTTCAGCAGAAAACAGGAGGCTTCTGCAGCACGAGTAACGGAATCGCTGAGGCACATCTCGCCAAGGGTACAGATCACCACATTATCCTGGCACCAACCTGTACAGTCCGGTGATTTTGACGAGAGTGAGGACAGCAAGTGATTGGATTGACACAGCTGGGATTGTCTGAAGGAAAGGAAAGAGGGACAGAGAGTAACAGCATGGAGGGTCCTGGCTGGAAAGCGTGTGAAGTGACATACTTGGAGTCTGGGCTGAAAAGGAAGGAGGGACATAAAGGAGAAAGGAAGGGAGGAGCCAGATGGGGCCAAATGATTGGGTCATTCAGAGCCTGGCGGGGGTGTGGCCAGGATGAGGGAGAGGTGGAATGTAAGAGCTGAAGCCAAAAAATGGCCTGCTGGAGTGTATGATTTTGGAGCTTACTTTCTCCTGGGATGCTTAGATGTGTTGTAGAAAAAGGAGACATTTGTTATTGAAAAAAGTGAAGGCACTCAGAGAGTGGAAAGCTGAGCAAAGGAAGAAAGTGGATGTGGTCTTTGTGTTCATTTTGAAGGATAATGGGTAATGGTCTGAATGGGAAAAGGTAGCCAAGAGACCACCACACCACCTCTGAGCTAAGCAGAGTAGGAGAGAGGAAAGACTATTTGGGAGTGTTTCAGGAGAAGCCATATTTGTGGGCTGGACCCAATTTCTTTCCAGAGAACGAGAGTTTCACATCTGGAGAAACTTAATCTCAGTGGCGAAGCCTGCAGCAGAACGGGGAAATCTCCTATAGCCATGTTTTCTCCAGGCAGATGTCCTGCCACCATTCTTCCAGGGTAGAACTGCATTTTTCTCTTCATTGCAATTATTATTATTACTTTGGCAATGTATGCAAACAATAGGAACGTGGAAGAGATAAAAATATAGTTCTCTTCATTCACGTCAATATGACTTCTGTTTATTGGGTACCTTAGCCAGATCTGGAAATGGTATGATGAACCATTTTATCATGGGCTTAGAACCTGGAGGCGTGCTGGTGCTCTGATAGGGGTAATTCAGAGACAGACAGGGTGGGGCTGGGGGGTTAGGGGAGGGAGGTTTAGAGAGAGCTGGGAATTTCTGACGAAGAGTGGTGTCTGGGATGAGCCATCCCATCCTGGGCACACGAGCAGCCTTTTGGGAGACTTTACTGTGGGGGAGACACCAAGGGCTGTGGCAGTGTCCTGAGTCATGAGAGTAGCTCCCAGGTGAGGGGGGGCGGTGGGGGGCTGTAGACCTATTTAGGATGTAGGAGTGGAAACAATCGCCTGGACAGCAGAGAGAGAACAGAGACCCCGGGTCAGAATCAAGTACTCACTTCAGTACACTGGCATTCAGGAGAGGCTGAGAAGCCAGTGAGGAAAATAGAGAGGTGGGCGGGCAGGCCCTTGCCACAAACTAGCTGTGTAATCTCCTGCAAGTCTTTCTTCTTTGGCTGGGCCTCGGCTCTCTAATGCATTTGAAGAAGTGAAAGCAGACAATTCCTCAAGCCTTACCACTGTAGGAACTCCAGATTCTGTCTGTGATTGTAGGGGTATTGTGTATTGTAACACAGTTCATGGAGTCGTTTAAACCTTCAAATTGCTCTCAATTATAAATTAATTTGCTCTTTCCAAAGACTATGTAAGGAAGAAAAAATAGATTATATTATACTCACAGATTCAGGAAAGTTAAGTGGTTTCAAGAGGTCTTAATGCGATGTAGAAGGAGGCAGTGCAATCAATGTCTTTTTATATTCTCAAGTGTGTGTGTGTGTGTGTGTGTGTGTGTATGAGAGTATGTATAGGAAGATGGATATTTTAAAGGTTACATGTGGAAGACTAGGCCCAAGCATTTTAGGGGATTATTTAGGAGGACCATATTTATTGCAAATAAACCAGACTAAGTTTGCTTTGTATATAATCTGGTGTTGATATATTCAAGTTTAGAATTAATGAGTTCCTGTGATTAGAGTCCCAGCACAGTATGAAGAAGTATAACATTCATAGATGGATGAAGGCAGTGAGGATTGAAAAAAATTCAAAGAAGATAGTATTATAGGTAGAGCTATGTGTCCATGTACTGTTTATTTAATTTCATGAATAGTGCCATTTTTATAGCATTTGATTTTTTTAAAAAAATCCTCGTTTATGGTTTATAATATGAAAGTCATTAAATGTTGATGAATTATTTTAAAGTTATTTTTACTTGACCATTTATAGATCTATTTATAAATGGCTGCTTGATACACACTTTTGAGGATCCTTAGAAAATTGAGATAGTATTATATATTCAAAATTAAAAATTAAGTAAGGAAATTTGATTAAAAAGAACATAGTAGCCCTAACTGGTTTGGCTCAGTGGATAGAGCATCGGCCTGCAGACTGAAGGGTCCCAGGTTCGATTCTGGTTAAGGGGATGTACCTTGGTTGCAGGCACATCCCCAGTAGGGGGTGTGCAGGTGGCAGCTGATGGATGTTTTTCTCTCATTGATGTTTCTAACTCTCTATCCCTCTCACCTTCTCTCTGTAAAAAATCAATAAAATATATATAAAAAAATAAATGGTCAATGTTTAAATAAAATAAAAAGGACATAGTACATCTGTTTCTAGACTATAAGGTGTCTGAACAGTTACAGTTACAGTTACAGTTATGGCCTTACCTGTTCATAGTAATATACCAGAGCACAGTTCAAAAATGTCTTTTAGGACGGGAGTATAGTAATGCTATAATTTCCTTTGGTTAGACATTTTCAAATACATCTAATGCCAAAAACTAATTTCCCATTTTTCAAAGTGAACATTGGCTCTGTAACCAAAAATAAGACTTTAAGAAATAATATTGTAAAATAAAATTTATTTGAAAGGTCTGCAAGATCGAGATAAGAGAGAAATTGGGTGGTTTAGGGATACATAATTGTGATGCCTTTGAATATGCTAAAATGTGCATGTTTTGCATACTTATGTACATAAAGTGATTTATCCACTGTTTGGCTCAGTGGATAAAGGGCCTCTGGACCAAAGGGTCCAGGGTTTGATTCCCAGGGCACATACCTTGGTTGCAGGCTCTTCCCTGGCCCAGGCCCTGGTCAGGGCTCATGCAGGAGACAAACAATTGATGTGTTTCTCTCACATTGATGTTTCTCTCTGTCTTCCACTTTCCCTGAAAATCAATGGAAAAATCAATGGGTGAGGATTAACTAAAAAAAAAAAAAAAAAAAAAAAAAAAAAAAAAAAAAAAAAAAGTGCTTTTAGCATCTTTCTTAAAGGTTGAAGTCATTTTGATTTTTGCCAAGGACATGTTTTCATTTTTGTTTGTTTAGACTGACTTCTTGCTGTGAAAGATGAGTTTGTTGGTCCAGCCACACTGGCATGAACATGCAGTTCTGAAAATTCTGAGGCCCCTCTGTACCAGTTAGTAAATGCCAGCCACTGGACTCTCCCAGGCCTCTCCCTCTCTCCTGGCTGCCCCATCCCACCCAGGACCAACCCCAAATCTCATCTCTCCGGGACCCAGAGCTACAGGGAAAGGGTTTCTGGTCCCTCTTCTAGGCACCTTCCACATGCACTACTTTGCCCCAAGCAGTTAGTTTCCATCTGGTTTATGTAATGGCCCTCAGGTAAGGCTTTGTTTACAGAAAGTATTCCGCGTCAAAACCTGTGCTCAAGGTCAGCCTCAGGCCCTTGCAAGTTTGCACAGTCCAGGATTTCTGAGAATGAAAGCCTTTCTCCCAAACACTCAAGCTCCTTATGAAGTCAAGTGCACGTCTGCATCCTGGTGTAATTACCTTGCATCCAAATGGGCAACAGACACAGGCTGTGGGGATGGAGGCGACACCTGAGCCGGCTCCAAATCAGATGAGGCAGAAAGTGCTGGAGCCCAGGCTCAAGTGGAGGCGGCTGGAAGGGAGTGGGCTTTGCTCCGTGCTCAGCCCTGTGCCAGGGGTCCAAACCCCTTCCAATCCTATGAGAGCTTTGCTCCTTTTCTTCCTCCCTCCTTCCCTTGCTTCCGGATTTACTGAGCACCTGACTGTGCCAGGGCTGGGGTACAAAGGCAAAGCTAGCATCCCCAAGGCCTCACGGTCCCGGGGCGTAAGAGGGTCATCCAGAAAACAGCTGTGATTGGGGTGGTTGCAGGGTGAGCCCCACGTGACTCAGGAAAGGTTCTCCGGTGGAGTTAAAGCTGAGCTGGGATTTGAAGGATGAGGAAGGGCATTCAAGGTGGAGGGAACTGCATGTGCGAAGGCAGGGAGGCAGGAAACAGCCTGCCTGGTCTGGGAACTGTGGGAGGGTGATGTAGCCCAGGTCCAGGAAATCTGCTGGGTGAGGTTGGGGTCCCAGAACCCATTACCTGGACCCTCGGCCTCCTGGACCTCCTTTGCTCCCTGCTGCCTGGCCAGGAAGAGGCCCTGCCTACCTGCACAAAAGGAGGCCGTGAAGCTGGAGAGGAGTGAGGAAGGAGGGGACAGCTGGTGTGTATTTTTGGATTGCTTCTCAGAAATCCCCTCCTCTTTCTCCCCCCTCGCGCTCCCCTCTTCTCTCTTCCCCCTCCTTTCCTCTCCCTCTCCCCTTCTCCTCCCCTTCCCCCCTTCCTCACTTTCTACTCTTCCTCTGACACCATGGCAGCTGGGGGAACCGCCTGTGAGCTGGGCTGAGTTGAGGGGGAGGTGGGCTGGGGGTAGAGACCTCTGCTCCTCATCTCTGAGCCTCAGTTTTGGCATCTAGAATATGTACATGACAACCCAGTTGCTGGCTCCTGTTAACTCAGGTGTTCCAGGAAGAGGAAGCCCAGGCTGGACTCATTAGGGGGAAGGCCTGGGAGGTCAGGGCGGGGCCAGGGAGTACCCTGCGTCATCCTGCAGCTGGGGGCTTGGCAAGGTGGTGAGGAGTCATGTAGCCTGCATGTCCCACCAAGCAGCCTGCCCTGGTGTGCCCACTGCACTGTCACTCTCCCGGGGAGCGGGAGACAGGGCGGGGTACAGACACAGGGATGGATCTCCCTGGGAGCCCTGCAGTGAGCGGTCTAGGGGGTCTCCCCTGCTGGGCACAGGGCTCAGCTGTTCCCAGAACCCGGTCAAAGCCCCAAAAGGAGGGGCAAGGAGGGTCTAGTTCCTGGGGCTGCTGCTCCGAAGTCTACAAACTGGCCTACACAAACAGGAACACGTGCTCGCCCCGTTCTGGGGCTGGAATCTGAAATCAGGGTGTCTGGGGCTGTGCTCCCTGGGAGGGCTCCAGAGGAGGGTCCTTCCTGCCTCTTCAGTTTCTGGGGGCTCCTGGCCGCTTCCCTTCAATCGTCACATGGCCCCTCTTCCATCCTCACGTGATTTCTTGTGCCTTAGGATTTTTTTTTTTAATTTAAAGATTCCTCGCCACCCTATTCCTCACCCATCTCCCTATTCCTCACCCATCTCCACTCCCCAATTCAAATAGTATTTCATTTTTCATCAGTTCTATGATCACATCTTTTAGGTTCGTGAGCCAAGTTGCTAAGACACTTAAGCCATTAATGTCTATTAATTGTGACAGCAAGCAATAGCCAATTTTGAAACACTTTTACTCAATTATGCCTTATTAGAAACAATTTGTCTGTCTTAAATGTGCCTTTTATGTAATGTTCAGTTTAGGAGTTGAGCAACTAAAATTATAATGTGCTTTTTCTGAGAAAGGAGCTACAGGGAAGTGTCAGAGACATTGCACTTGAAGAGAAAGTTGTCTCAGAACCGTGGTCGGCAAACTGTGGCTCGCGAGCCACATGCAGCTCTTTGGCCCCTTGAGTGTGGATCTTCCACAAAATACCACAGCCTGGGCAAGTCTATTTTGAAGTAGTCTTAGAAGAAGTTTAAGTTTAAAAAAATTGGCTCTCAAAAGAAATTTCAATCATTGTACTATTGATATTTGGCTCTGTTGACTAATGAGTTTGCCTACCACTGTCCCAGAAGAACTTAAAGCAGATATTCACACGAAAATATAATTTCATTATTTTACAGGAATGCATTTATAAAAGGTTATCCTTATTGCTTTAAGCATTTCCCTCTGCTGTAGGATTTGGCAGTTGGTACCTTCAAGTGTCTCTTGAGCGTTTACTGTATGGTAGGAGGTATGAAGGAACCTAGACATCTGAGGCATGGATCCACCCACAGGGAGCACACAGAAAAACAAAGGATTTGCTTCATTTCATAATGACAAGGCAGGTTGACTGCACTCTTCAGCAATATTCAAATTTGCTAGTTTTAATGTAAACTGGTTGATTTTCAAATGGTATGAAGGACCATCAAGATCAAAGTTTCTTCAAGAGACAAATGTCCAGATTTTAGCCTGTGTTTGCAAAGATCAATTAAATCACAAGCCCACAGTCAGCCCACTGCCAGATGAGCCCAGTTGCTAATGTATAAGCTTACTCCCTCAGAAGGGTCCTCAGATACCATGTGGGATGTCATGTGACTGCTAGGCTGGAGATGCTTCAAGAGCAGGCTCTGCGACTCGGCTTCCCCCGGGGTTCCCCACAGTGTTTCTTCTCAGGGAACACTCAGAAGTCACTGACTGGCTGACTAATCTGTGGGTAGCTGCCACAGAAACCAGTATCTCATTACCAAAGAGCAGATGGAAGGAAGACTCTAAATCAATGGAGACAGGTTTCCACCTAAGATGCCCTGATGTGGAAGGCGTCACAGGGTGAGTAAGAGAACAAGGGAACTCGAGCTGATCAGCTGAGTGGATGCCCAGAAAATTCCATGCCCTGGGGAAAATTTGTTTGGGAAAAATTTATTAGTTGGGGAACTGCAGAGACATTCATATTTGTAAGACCTTGTTACCTACAAATAAACAATGCTTTAGTTTGTTGAAGTAATAAAAGTTAGTGGTGCCCTGATGTTGTAGAAGTCAGGTTAGAGATATGGGTAGAAGAGGAGAAACTAGGACACAGTAATAAAATAAAACCTAGTGGAAACTAGATTCATTTGAGATTGTCATAAGTAATAGATGTGTATTTAATTACATTGACATGCTCTTTCTGATTGGTGATATTTTTGAGCTTATACTATGTGTGGGACATAAAGGCAGGGGCTGTTTATATATTCTTCCTTTTAATCTTAACAACAACCTTATTGGAAAGAAAGACACTATCTTCACTTGTCTAAAGGGGAAACTGAGTCCAGGCAGATGAATTAACTAGTCTAATTTCCCGCTGGCAGAAAGCCATGGGATTTGGATTTGCAATTACCATATTTTCCACTGTACACATTCATAAAACATGGCCACACAAAGCAAACCAAAGTGGTGTGTGTGTGTGTGTGTGTGTGTGTGTGTGTGTGTGTGTGAGAGAGAGAGAGAGAGAGAGAGAGAGAGAGAGAGAGAGAGAGAGAGAAAGAGTTATTTCCATCACCAGGAAAAACATACTCTTTTCCTTGGCTGACCTGGGATGGTGGAGAATCATTTCATTTCTCTAGGTGACAGATCACTATGACTTCATCAATAGTCAACCCATACATTGGTCACATACACAAAAGGGGGACCTGCATTGATTTAGCATATTATAATGGTACATTCAAGGCAGGTTTTGCCCTGAATGTACTATTATAATTTAAAATTTGGGAAAAACACAAATACAATTCCTCCCTGTCTCTTGAGGTTGAGAGGTATGCAGAGTACAGTGTAGGCTCTGTGTCCTCTCGTGTCCCACACTCCTGAGCTGCAATTTCAGGTCTAACGCTCCCTGTCATCCCACTTCAAAAATATTTTGAGTGGAACAAATTTATTCCAGTTATTTCTCTTTCCTTTCATAGATCATTTACTTCTGCAGCTGATGTTTTCTTTCTTCTAAAACAGGATTTGTTTTTATGACAGTGTATTGAAGGTGCTGATAGTCATGATATCCATTAAAAGGGAGAGGTGATAAAAATTATTTGTGAATTGAGCTAGACTTAGTAAAAGTCCTATTTGTTGTGATAACTGACAGTGAAGATGGGTAAACCATTCTAAAATGTTTGTTTTTGTTTCCCTAGATGCAATCTTCCTCCCTTGTCAAGTGAATACACTAAAGATGTTGGATCTAAAAGTCATCTAGTGACAGCTAACCCCAGCATAATTCGGCAAAGGTAAGCATTTATGACTTCCATTGGTGAGGAACTAGAGAGGAAGGCGTTTGAAGCATCAAACATCTAAAGACAGTGAGCATAACTCAGTTTAAGGAAACAAAGAAGGACACCATCTGGACAGGCAGGAAGGATGAAGAAGGAAATTGTAAATAAACTAGCCAGGATTGTGGGAATCCAAACACCATCTCATGCTTCTGCTGGGATTCTGTTTCTTGCCTTCAGAGGGGTAGAAATAACATGAGGACCCATTGTTTTGCCCAAAGAAGCAACACAATATCCTGCTTACTCATTACTACTACTTTCCAATTTGTTGGCTTCAATCCCAACTCATTTATTGGCATTGATTGTTGAACTGAATTAACGTCGGTTTTATTAAGAATAAAGATAAATGGTCAATCTAATGCATATGTGTGTATAAAAATAACAATATTGTCAGAATGTATAGGAGTGTATGATGATATTATATCCATCAGATGTGGGAAAACAGAATGGAAAATTCTTGCTCTAGGGTTGATTCCAGAAATCTTGGCAGCTGCCGTAGGAACTTTTGTGTGTCAGTCTCTAGTTGATGAAGCCCATCAGTAGGCTGTTTCTCCAAGGACTGTTCATTGTGGAGAATGACTCGATCTCTGTGAAAAGAGGAGTCAGACTTGCCTTTAGACTCTCTTGTGTAGCTAGCAATGCAGAGTGAAATATCCAGACATCTGGGCTCTGGTGCTTGTTATCTAAGGAGGTTCTCTGCAAGTGGCCAGCACTTGTGTGTCACTGTTTAAACACTGTTGCACTTGTTTTCGTTCTTAAGTAAGTATTCTCATAAAATAGAAGTCTAGAAAAAAAACAACATAATTTTTAATTTTGAGGGATATTGTGAAATTACCCTTCCAAAATGTACCATTTACTTCCTCTTCAGTTAACGGGTAAAAACTGCCTCTTTCCTAATCCTAATTATGTATTGTTAACCTTTACATTTTTGCCAGTTTGTTGGGTGAAAATGGTACATTATTTACTTACTTAATATGTATTTTTCTGAATACAAGAAGGGCTGAGTGGGCATTGGCTATTAGCACTTCTGTGAATTGCCTATTTATATTTCTTGTTTATTTGTGCTTTTAAAAATATTTTTTCATTTGATTTAGAGGAACTTTATATGATAGATATTAAATCTTTGTTTGCTACTATGTAACATGTTTTCTCCTAGTCTGTCACATATCTTTTAACTTATGTCCTATCAGAGCTTAACATCTTTTGTATAATTTTAACATTTTTCTTTATGGTTTCTTTTTATAAAAAAAAAATCTTTCCTTAGATGATCTTTCATATCAACATCTCCTCCAATGAGAAAATATTATATTGCATTTATCTAGTAAATTTATAGTTTCATTTTTCATATTTAATAAATTTAGTCCATGTGAATATATTTATTTTGATAACAATAATTTTATTGTTTTCAACAAAGGCTTGTTCATTATCAGAATTTAAAACAAAAGAGAAAAGTACAAAGAAGGTAAGCAACAAATCATCCTAACCCAGTCCATTTGAAAATAATGGTAATTAATATCAGGTAAATTTTTTTCAGATATTTCATATGTGCTTCAGAAGTTTGAAGTTATTGTTTTATTATCTTCTTAAGTTCTAGTGTTGCCAATCAAAAGTCTAATAGAAATCTATTTTATTTTTTTGTTTGAGGGAAATCTTTTCTATCTCCACTGATAACTTTTTTAAAATTGATTTTTATCATTTAAATTCAGACAGTTTACCAACAGTTATCTTAGAATAGATCTTTTTAAATTCATGTTGCTTAGCACATTAGTGAGAGGTTCTTTTAGTTAGGAGACTTGAGAATTTAGTGGTAAAGATTCTATACGCTAATATGACTTGGATTTACTCCCTGTTCACCCACTTAGGGGCTGTGTGAGCATGACTAAGTTACTTACCACTGTCTCCATCAGCTTCCTCTTTTGTAAGGCAGGGATAACACTTTTATTATAGTGAATTACACTGCATATGTATATATATGTATGTGTATGCATATATAGGGCATCCCCAAAAATGTAAATACACACTTTGAATAAATATAAAGTCTGTGTGGATATTAAAATACATTTTATTTTCAAAACTGAGCTATCAGCTGTTAAAATGTGAGTACATATTTTGGGCCCACCCTATCTGTGTATGTGCATATATACCTATATATTTTAATTATATATAATGCTTAGAACAGTGCCTGATATGCTGTAAGCACTATATAAGTGTTACCGTGTTTCCCTGGAAATAAGACATCCTCCGAAAATAAGCTTAGCGCATGGAAAGATAAGACATCCCCTGAAAATAAGACCTAGCACAACTTTGGGAGAAAAAATTAATATAAGACACTGTCTTATTTTCGGGGAAACAGGGTAGCTATCATTAGTATTAGTAGTATTATCTCTGAACATTCTTTCTCTCTGAGATTTGGAAATATGGAAGCATAGAACAATTAGTTTTTAAAATGTCACCAAAGCCCTGGTTGGTGTAGCTCAGTTGGTTAGGTGTTGTCCTTTGCACGGAAAGATTGCCAGTTTAATTCCTGGTCAGGGCACCTGCCCAAGACTGTGGGCTCAATCCTGGTAGGCAGCTGATAGATGTTATGCTCTCACAGTGATGTTTATATCTCTCTTTCCCCTTCTCTCTTCTTCTCTCTCTAAAAATCAATAAACTGGTCTTTAAAAACATGTCACTGAAAATAAAAAATGACAGTCAGATTTGTAAATTAATAAATTAAATGACCAAAGATTAGCTTGATTCTTACTTTTGAAGGTGATTTGTTTTTGATATAGCTAATGTAGGAGAAAATAAAGCATCACTCTCTTAAAGTTTAATTATTGACTTGTATTCAGTTCTTGAATGTGTTTGTTTGTTTGTTTATTATTTTTCATGGGGGTTTGATCAGAAATGATTATAACAAAATTATAATTATAACAAATATTATAACAAATGATTATAACAAAATCACCAGTGATGGTGGTGTCTCTTTACTTCAATTAAGCATGCTGGTGTTCTGGGGACCCTAAGGATGTGTAGTTTTTAAATTTGGGATGAGTTTGTCCCAGGTTCAAGAGAATGAACAAAAAGGCAAGAGAATTTACAGAAGTATTTTTTACAAATAATTACAGATACAGAAGAAGTTCCCAAAAAAGTATGGGAAGTTCCTAAGTACTCTTCATTCAGGTTTCCTGCAATAGAAACATCTTGCATCACCATAATATATTACTTTAACTATTATTTTGATTTGGGAATAACTTTTAAGAGGGAATAAATGTTCTGGTGAAGTGAAATGAGACATCCAAGGGTAAAAGATTCATATTTCCCTAAAATATTTGGAGTTGAGGGGAACTTTAAAAGGAAATTGAACAAGAATATTTAAAGCAACATTTAGAGAAAGATGAAGGGACAGAGAGGGAGAGAGAGATTGTGTTATTGATAAAAATTATGAAAACTACAAGAGAAAGGATAGGGTAAACAATGCTTAAGAGGAAAAATAAACCTGTTAAGACTTATGTTCAACATAAACAATTAATATAAGGCAAGCAAGACTCATTATGATTACAAATCATTATAATTAATTATTTAGTCAACATATCCATGTGCTAGATTATGTGCTACTTATACACATTGCAACATTTACTCCTCAAAACAATCCCAGGAGGTAGAATATTTTAAATATGTATTGACAGAAAAAGGAAATGTGATGTGATAAGTTTAGTCACCTGCTCCTGTTCACAGTTGCTAGTAATCATTCTGGGACTTCACCCAGACATAGCTCAATCCAAAACCCATGCTCCTAATCAGTGACCATTATTACTCCAGATGATCTTTCCAGGTGATTTATGCATTGTATAATACAAGGAAACAACTGTGTTTTCATAAGTGACAAGTTATTTTGGAAAGTGAAAAATTTTTCACTTAAGTAATGTATTCAATGTAACAAGGTATTTGGATTAAAAATCAAAATGAATATAAATATTGTATTTTGTGAAATAAGGAAATGATATACCATTACAATAGCATCAAGTAATATGATGTACTTAACAAACAAAAAAGCAAGCATTCTATGGAAATATTTTAGAATTTTATTGAGACATTTCAAACAACCTGACTACATGTATGGATATACCATGCCTATGACTAAAAGACTCAGTATTGTAAAGGCATCAGTCCTATCCAAATTGGTCTATAGATTCATTGAAATTCCAATAGCAACCTCAATACTGTGTGTGTGTGTAACTTGACAAGTTGAAATGCAGAGCAAAGAATATCAAAGAAGCTCTTGAAGAAAAAAATGGTTGGAGAAGTTGCTCTATCAGATATTATAATCCAATACTTATATTTAGCTATTATAATTAAGACAATGTGATATTGGTACAGAGATAAACAAACTGATCAGTTAAGCAGAACAGGGGCCCCTCAGTCAGATCCATTTACATAGAGACTCTTAATATATGATAGAGGTAATATTGTAGATCAATGAGAAAAGGAAAAACTTTTCAAAATGATGTTAAGACAGTTAGGTGTCTATTTGGGACAAATGAAGTTATATTTCTACCTCATACCTTACACAAAGCATTGTTTCTAGATGGTGGAGACCTAACCTTGAAAAGCAAAACAAGAAATCTTGTAGAAAACAGCACAGGCCTTGTAATTTCTTAAATAAATAGTGTTAATTGAAAGGAAAAAACTGATGTTTGATTTATTAAACTAAGGAACTTTTATTCATAAGAAGACATTTTAAAAGCAGAGCAAGAACAACCACATTATAGAAGAAGACACCTAAAAAAGGACTTGCATTTAGAATATATGAATAACTCTTTTATATTTAATTTAGAAAGAATTAATATGAAAAACAGAAATCCCAATAAAATATGTCAGGACCAGACTTCAAAGCACTAGTCTAAATAACAAGTAAATGAATAAATATATGATCAACCTCATTGATATTCAGACAAATGCAAATAAATATTCCA